ATATATATACATATATATACATATGCATATATATATATATATAGAGAGAGAGAGAGAGGACTTAAGCCAAGTGAAAAATGTAGAAAAGTGTGGAAAGTGGGAAGCGAAATGTTTTCTCAACAACATGTTTGTACAAAGAAAATCATTCTACTCTGCATTTAAAGAACCCCTGAAAGAGAACAGTAGGTGGGTCCACATCAATTTGCAACAAGATTCGGAGTTCTTTTGAAAACAAGTTGAGTAAAAATTTTGGGAATCTATCAAGCCCATAAAGGTCAAAACAAAACACCATCGCTGGTTGCGTTCTAAGTAATAATTCTGAAATACTGTGCAACAAAATCACCCAGAGTTACTGTGTTTGGAGGCAGAACGCTTCTGGAAGGTGCTCATTCACTGTTAGGATTGGGGCTGAATTTTCGCGTAGTCAATCCATTTCTAAAACAGTCCTGCGCAAAATCACGTGCTGTCTACTTGAACGCCAAGGTCAACTGCGTTATAAGGTTAGGCTAGAAAAGTTAGGTAAAGAAACACCAAGAAAGGCATTACCACCAATACCTTTTCCCGAGCTTTCTTCAAGCGGGAACCACCAAATAGGGAAATTGACCCTGTCCTTCGCTTATTTTTGGGCGGAGCTGTCCAAATACTTAATCTCAACCGTCCTGGAAAATTAAGCTTCAACTTTACATACATATATGTACCGTGCCGGTGAGCTTATGAATTCAAAATCTACCCGGCTATCTATTAGCTATAAAGGTGGCGATTTCGTAGTTGTTTCTACCCAGTGCGAAGTTAGAGTAACAGAGTTAGAGTGATGAATGAATCTCTTTGTGGACCGTCCTCTGAAAAAGGAGTACAGAAATCAGTACCAAAAATTAAGCAGGGAGCGGGTTGAACGCCAAAGACAGCGAGTCTAGAGCACTTAGTTATTTCCCGGCAAAAAAAACTGCTATTCAACTTGTTTGGTCTTGTATTCGGTTATTAAAACAGACAGGTTCTTTTTTGTTATTAAAGGGCGAATAAGTGTTATCCTGCATACTAAGTCATTTTTCCTTTAGGTTAGGTAGATGACTCTTCTTCCACGTAATCACTAAGTGTTTCTTCTGCATTCCATGACTACCATTGCTGTAGAGCTGTTATTTCTTTCTCATAGTGTATTGGATATTGTTGGATGCTTTTGGCAAGTGACTGTTTACGTTGTAGCTCATGAAGTAAGTGTTTTTATGCCTGTTTGATTGTAGTTAAATTATTCATAGCCTGTTGGAAACCAGGTGTGTTTTCCTAAGGAGCAGTCTCCGACACCTGTAATTACTTGTCTGTAGCTATCCTTCTTGCCTCAACAACATGTCGCCAAAGGCTCCTATCACTGATTTACTGATATTTCAAAAACTTCGCATTTCTCAACATGTTCCAACCGGCTAAAGGCAATATTCCTGTGTGTATGTCCGACTATGGGCAAACAACTTGGATGCTATGGCTCCATGTTTGTGCATTTCGTATGGAACGTGTAACCGGAATACAACTAAGTGTTACCCTGCGAAAGCCAATAGCTTGAAATGTTTATCTATTGCGATAATCCAAGATCAGGGGTTAGTGGTCATGGATTCGACCAAAACCGAAACGCCGAATTCTATTAGGTTGTAACATATGAAATGCTCGATTTCAAATGTAAATAAAGATTAAGTAGCCATAGCTTCTTCATACTATTTTTATTAATCGAAATAAAAACCGTTAAATCAGAAGATTTTTTACAACAAGAAACGAGTAAAGTAATTCCGTTAGTTTAAAAATTGCAGGTTGTAGTATCTACGTATTTCCTAAAGGCATTTCCAACGGTTACTTGATCGTGAAAGATTTTTTTTTCGTCATAAAGTGGTCCAGATGCTCAAAAAATGAAAACCCGTTGAAAACAAGTTTGCCGAGTAAGGCTGATGTGGTAAAACTTCGTAGTGCACTTCACTCTTAATTGATACTTGAATGACCCCTCTCCAGTGGTTGTGCGGCCCCTAGTGTAATCACCATTTTCGGAGATTTGCTGGTTAAATAATTGTGGCTCCTTAGATTCCTGAGGTCAGCCTAGCCAAAGCCTGCTCCAGGTCGTCACCACCACAGGCTGTCGAGGCCCTTGTGGATCTGAGGGAGATTTGCCACCAAGCGACTAGTTTGACACCACGACGATTGTGGACTCTGGTAATGGTTTACTCTTAGCTAGGCTTTCTGATGCTAACGGCGGACTCCTTCTCAGCTTGGACGACCTGGCCGAGGAGACGAATCCTCTCGCTGTACATCGCAGTCCAACACCCAAAAGCACTTCCCAGCAACGATGAGGCGGTGAACCGTTGGGAGGGCATTTCATTCATTTCTTGATGTCATTTGGGAAATGTGGGCTTTTGCGTTGTCGTGGAGCAGTGTTCGTGCTCTTCTATTGACCAATGCCGGCTGCATGACGCGTAGTTTTTGATGTACTTCTTCGATCTCAGTACAGTATTTCTCTGACGTAATCGTTTCGCCATGTACTAAGAATTTGCAATGAATTTTATCTGCATTACCACCAAACGGAAGCCATAGTCTTTTTTGGGTGTAGATTCGGTTTAGGCATGGGTCGTGGATTTTCACTGGCGTCTGCTATTGTGCAGAATGGCGACGACTATCGTAGAGTATCCGCTTTTCATCGTAAGTTATAATGTGATTCAAAAATTGATCTCTATTGCTGCGAATCAGTAGGGAATTGCAAACTTCTAGTCGATGAGCGTTTTCCTTTTTGTTGAGATCGTGTGGAACCTATTTGTTCATTTTTTAAACTTTGCCAATCAGTGGCGCAAGTGAAGCGACGTGAAAACGTCATCGCACTGATTCCAGACACTGTCGCACGTTCTCGGAGCGTTTGACGTGGATTTCATCCGACTTGAGTACGAATGCCTCATCGTAAGCCATAATTTCTCGCCTACCACGCTCGTCGTTTGCAGAGCTATCGTCCCGAATTCAAACCTTGTGTGCCAACGACGAGTGATGCGTTCGTTAAAAAAGCTTTCTCCAAACGCCGCATTGCTATTCCGAGCACCTGTCGCGGCATTATGTCCGCTCTTCCACTCGTACAAAAAAAGCACACCAATATCACTTTGATGCATAAAGAATGGAGGATAATGCTCTTGGAGTTGATCAATCCCAGAGGGATACGTCATGCATTCGACTTCATTGAGCATCGCTGAAAGTGATTGAATGCATATCTGGCCTTTACAATGACTCGCGGTGGCCTAGCGATGTATCATGCCAGTGCTGCTATCGTTCCATACAAGTTTGGTACCAAGTTGCTGACCCCGGAAGGATGGAAGGCTTGGTGAGCTATGGGCGCAGGGATCGACTCCACGTGTGTGTTACAGGGCGCCCCCGACCACTGCGCCACACGCACCCTTTAGTTGCTACTTTGATGCAAACTAAAGTTAAGGCCTACAAAAATGTCAAAATGATAAAGCTTGAAAAAAACTAAAACTACTTAAAAGAGCGGACTTTGTGCTTTACAAATATGTATTAAAGATACATAAAGAACAGACTTTTTATTTAAAGCATTGTACAGAAAACTCAAACAATAAAATCGAGCATTTCATATGTTACAACCTAGTACTTGTGACCTTTGATCTACCGATACCATTCGTACCAACAAAGGCGCGATATTTGTGAGAGTCTGGTTCAGTAAGTTGTAAAAGTTTCTGTTTATAAAACAAGCCATTCTGAGCACTGTTTTCAATTGAGCAAAAGAACACTATAAGACCTTCCAGACACAATTTTTAATTAGGTTGACGTTAAATGTGCATTTGTGAGTGAATAACACATACAAAAGTCCCTTTAATCCTTTATAACACCAGATGCAGGCGATGTGTTCAGGTGTCGTATTTTAGGGTGTGTCGCAGAGAAATGAACCCATCTGAAAACCTGCTTGTTGAGAATTACTGAGTGCTGAGAACCGCTTTGCTCGCATAACCGCTCCTAATTTGATCTGCCTTTGACCAACTATTTAATAATCTGATCGATATGCGTAGAAATCTTCCACTAGTGCCACCACATTTGGACGTATACGTCTGTAATGTCGTGAGTGTGTGAAGATGGTCAATTGTTAAAACGTTTTGCAGGCAACTACTTTACGACATGTGACAGTCATCGTTGTGCTTATGTGTTCTACTAGTGCTCATTTGCCAACTACATGTGGTAAAACGTGTACTACTTGGTGTACACTCTGGTTCACTTCGACTAGACACCCACATCTCAAAGGGATATTGTCAAAGAGAAAGTGGATGTGGAACTTGGAACTCTGGAAAAATTTCAAACAACGTCTATGGAACTTCAACGGGGCTAAGATATAACTCGTATATAATGCTGAAAAAAGGCAGTAAATAAAAGGGTTAAGGTGCTGAGATATTTGCAAAACTCCTTATCGCAAGTGTCTGCGGTGAGAATCGAACGCGTTGCTATCCTTTCCGAGGAGTAATGCGTTCACCACCACACCATGCAGGTCCTTCGCTTCGCCTGTCTCTCAGCTAGTTCTATCGACCTTTGCCATGACCGGTGATTGCTGATGGCAGAGATCGATAAAACTAGCTGAGAAACAGACGAAACGAAGGAACCGCATGGTGTGGTAGTGAACGCGTTAATCCTCGGAAAGGACAACAGCGCGTTCGATTCTCACCGCAGACACTTGCGGTAAGGAGTTTTGCAAATATCTCAGCATTATAAAAGTTATATTTCGCACCATACCCTGCCGTTAAAAAGAATAGGCAGTAAATAAAAAGGTTGAGAACGTCGATAAAAATAAAACCTTTGTAAATTAATTCGATTTCAACTAGGGTTTTGGCTAGCTTGATGGAAACAAGGTCGTCGATTTTTTATCAAAGGTCAAGATGCGTCTAAAAGTGATAAAATAATGTCACAGCAGTTAAGAAAGTGCAGAAAAACAGGGTATGGCCATGAGGGTAACAAATGGAGGTGAAACTTCACTGCAGACCAAAAACATCTTGAGAATTTGATAAATGAAAATTCGTGGAACGAGATCGTCTTGCACTTCGTCAACTTTGGCACTGCACTCCTTCAATTTCCACCTAGACAATAAAACTGTTTTCAAGGAGTTAAGGAAATGAAGTGGAAAGTAAGATAAAAAGTGAGCTCGCTGATAGCGCGGCTATCAGTTGATGGGTTCGTTATCAGCGGCCACGTGCTCATTGGCCGTTCGAGTGGAGAGTGGCGATAATCGATCTCATCTCGTGCTCACTCGGTGGTCGCCACGTCATCTGGTCAGTTGATCGCCATTGTTTCGTTTTTCTTCCGGTCTGTGTTCGTCACAGAAAGTAGTTTTCAAACGTTATTGCTGATTTTCCATGAGGAGCGCACCATTCTTTCTGTTTCTAACAACCTGCGAGTGAAATCCTTTCGCATTTCCCTAGGTTAATTGTTAAGTCACAGAGAAAAAAAAGACGAGCGATGTGTACCTAATTGAACACCATAAAAAAATCTCGGTGTAATCCAAGACCAGGTTCACCGAGACCAGCGCTTGCAAGTCTCCTTGCAGCGTTATCCAGACTCTTCTTTCTCCCATTCTATTCACTATTCATCAATATTTTTCTATGATCTTTCACTAAAATGAGGCTGTTTTCGCTCAAATAGAATGTTTGGCTCCGATTCCGAAACTGAGTTTGTTGAACAATTCTTGTTTGTTTGTTATTAAGGAACTTGTTACCTGGTCCAAGAGTTTTCTTGCGCCATATAGCACGTCAACAGTGTTTTTGGTGAATCGGCTTCTTTCCTGAGGACTTCACTGTTCTGGTCTTTATTATGATTCCAACAATTCGCCTCAAGTTTTTATACTTTTATCGCCTGCACTATTAAGTACACTCAAATAATCGTGCGGATGGTGCACATGTTGTTTGTTTTTGTTAAGAGTTTCTTCCTCTTTTTGGTTATTTCATGCCTATCGGTTGTCCGTTACTGGTGGAGTTTTGTTTACATAGAAGACCACAGCTTTTTCTGGATAGGAGGCTGTGTGAAAAAATACTGATCGGGTGAGTATATGAGATCTGTATTGGTTAAATCAGGTGAGAAGCACAAAGTAATTGATCTCGGAAACGAAAGTAAATGAGTTAATAAAAAAGAAAAAGGAATGAATGAGTTAAGATCATTGAAAAATTGTTGTAAGGTTTAGGAAAAGCAGCACATTTAGTGTCTAATCACATAGAAGCAACTTATCGTCCCAGTCGCCTACACCGTAGGTGAGATGACAACGTCCACTGGTAGAATCGTGTCCCATGTGAAGAGCAAAAAAATATGGGACCGAGTACGACATGTGCACTTGGCTTGCACTTAAGCTGATCTGGAGTGGGGGAGCCACGCAATGAAGAATGATGAGGAAGGTTGCGCATGAACGGGTACTGGGGAAGGTATATGAGCCTATCGCCAGTTGTTATGATGAGGAATGTCTGTTGGCGATGATGATGGAACTGCAGATACTGCGGAAGGATAAATAATGTTTGCGAAGCAGGATGTGATGCTGAAATTTTGCATGGGTTCGATGTGAATGAGATAACTGATGTATCACGAAGTTGTGGAAGTGGATTCTCTTCAGTAATTCAATTCTTTCAGCTATCAATCATAGCGTCAAGGATCCTGATCATCTATATAGAACAACGTTGAGCTTTAGTCCGAGTAGTAGTCGGAGGCCTGGTATTCAAAGACCATACAGGGTCGAGTGCCGTGTTTGAACTCTGTGCATATTTCAGCATTTTAACAAATATACTTTACTATTGCCTGTTACCCCTTAACATTACCAGACGTCATTTTGCTTTCATGTTCACATAACTGAAAAAATTCTCTGTTCCGCTGATTTTATCGCTCTCGCCGCGTCATGTAAACATAGGGCCACTAGACAGAGTTATCACAGCTGACATCCATGATTGAACACTGGCGTTGTTTTTATGAGCTGTGGTGAATAGTTTGCGACTACGTTCATCCTATCCTTGGTTGGATTGCAAGTTTACATTACTCGGATCATTACTTCCTCGTGGATTCCATCTTGGATCAGCTGTACTGGTGTTTCCACGATCGAAGCGATCGTCACATGAGATGATATTTATTGTTGCTGAATTTTGCCAATGATCGAGCACTTTTTCCAGCTTTTATTAAGCAAAAAAACACAGCAAAAAAGCAGAATTGATGATTTTGCCATCAATTTAGGAGGTAAAAAGATAGTGCTCAGTTATAAAAACAATGGGGGAGTTATCGGCTGCCATGCCCACTGGCAAAGCCATGATGATCATGCAGCATGCAGAAGTATCGAGCGAGCAGCAGCCTCTTTGTTACGTTGGGATCACTCAGCCTGTGGAGATAACTCAGGGTGTGGTGGGACGGCTCGATTATATAGGAATACCAAGTAGTTAAGATGATTCGCTCGGAATTTGTTGCTCGCCTTTGTGTACGCCACACGGGACTTCTTGTAGGTAGCATGAACGTTTTCTCGTTTGGCGTCGGAAAGAGACAACATGATGTGTGGTGACGTTTCTGGCACTTACGACATGAGGACCCATTGCACTGAATTGTGCTGTGGGATGGAGAAGCGCAAATATTGCATAGCTTATTATTTTGAAGGTACTGGTATCTTCTTTGAGGTGTTTCGTATTTACTGCAATGGAAAGGCTTATGGTCGCCTTTACAATACATGCACCGGAGCCTTGTTGTCGGCGGCTTCCAGTGTTTGACTTTGTTGTCGAAGCTAACTGTATCTCGAGGTGTTGCGCTGGTCTGGCGACATACCTGTTCCTCGCTGGTTATAACCTCTTCAAAATATTTTAGAAGCTGCTGCATGGTGAAAGATTCGTCGGGAGAAGTGATCTTTTTGTGAATAACTTTACGTTGGGTCCCGACTGGAAATTTCAAAAGAACCTTTTGATACGTGGACTGATTGTCGACATTTTCACCTTTTTGCACTAATTGGCCTATGATGGCTTCTATGTCTTCCAGTAGGCTGCGTTGCTCGTGTATGGACGACGAGTGAAGGGTGATTTTGTTCATCTTTCTGAGGAGCTGGCGAATGAGTTCTTCGGAATTGCCGTACTTATTGGTGAGGAATTCTATGGCTTTTAAGTAGTTTTGCCTAGTGAGTTGGAACTTCTTCATCGATTGTAGAGGTTCCCCTTTTAAGGAGTTAAGTAGGTAATTGAATTTTTGTAGCTCTGAAAGATTTTGTGAATGTACGTTTAAGTTGAAAAGCTCCCAAAAGTTATCCCAGTCCCAGATGTCGCCATTGAATGTTGGGATTAGGATTGTGGGTAGCTCCAGATTTTTCACGACCGCGGTGACGGTGGATTCATCTTTACTACTATTCGTAGTGGAGTGTTTGTAGGATGTGTTGAGAAGCTCAGCTTGAGCCTTGAAGCTATGGATCCGAGCATGAAGGAGTACAAGGTATTCGAAAGTATTGC